CCCCCCCCCCCCCCCCCCCCCCCCCCCACCACAAAAACACCCCCACCAACCCCCCAAACCCCCCCACCACCACCCACACAACCCCCACCACCCCCACCACCCCCCACCACCCCACCCCCCACCCACCACACCCCACCACCCCCACCACCCCACCCACCCAAAACCCACCCAAAAACCCACACCCACCCCCAACCCCCAACAACAACCACACAACACCACCCCCAAACCCCAACCCCCCCCCCACCCCCCACCCCCCCCCCAACACACACACCCCCCCCCACCAACCAACACCACCCACCCCCCACAAACCCCCCCCCCCCAACACACCACCCCAACCACACACAACCACCCCCCCCCACCAACCACACCCCCCCACACAAAAAACCAACACACCCAACACCACACACACCACCCACCCCCCCACCCACCAACAACCCCCACCCACCCCCAACCCCCCACCCACACCCCCCCACCAACACACCCCCAACAACACAACCCCCCCCCACCCCCCCAACCCCCCACACCCACCCCCCCACCCCCCAACACCCACACACAACCACCCACAACCCAACCACCCCCACACCACCCCACACCCCACACACCCAACCAAACACCCCACCCCACCCCCCCACACACCACCCACCCCAAACAAACAAAACCCAACCACCCCACACAACCACCCCCCCCCCCCCCCCCCACAACAAACCCCACACCACCCCCCCCACAAACCCCCCCCACCCCCCCCCCCCCCCAACCACCACCACCACACACACCCCCCCCCCACCCCCCACCCCCCAACACCCACACACCCCCACCAACCAAACCCACCCACCCCCCACAAACCCCCCCCCCCCCCAAACACCACCCACACCAACACAACACCCCAACCACCCAACCCCCACAAACAAACACACCAACCCCAACCCCCCCACACAACCACCCCCAACCCCCAACCAACAACCACCACCCCCCCCACCACCCCCCCCCACCAACCCCCACCCACCCACCAAACACCCCACAACCACCACACCAACCACACCCCCCCCCCCCCCCCCAAACCCCACCCCACCCACCCAAAACCCCCACCCCACCCCCCACCCCCCCCCCCCCCACACCACCACAACCCCCACCACACCCAAACCCAAACCCCCACCCACACCCCACCCACACCACCACCAACAACAAAACCAACACCCCAAAAACCACCCCCCCCCCCCCCCACCACACACCCACAACCCCCCCAAACAACCCCCCCCACCCCCCCAACCCCCCCCCCCCACCCAACCCCAAAACCCCCACCCAACCCCCACACCCCCCACCCACAACCCCCCCAAAACACCCCCAACACCACCCCCAACACACCCCCCCCCCCCACCCCCAACCCCCCCAACCCCCCACCCCACCCCCAACCACACCCAACCCACCCTCCCCAAAAACCCCCCAACCCCCACCCCCCCCCACCCCCCCACCCCCCCCCCCCCCCCCCCCCCACCACACCCACCACCACCCCACCCCCCCCCCCCCCCCCCCCCCCCCCCACCACACACCCCACAAACCCAACCCCAAAAAACCCCCCCCACAACCCACCCCCCCCACCCCACCCCCCAAACAACACCAAACCCAAACACACCAACCACACACCCAACCCCCAAACCCACCCAACCACCACCAACCCCCCCCCCCCCCCCACCCCAAACACAAACACCCACACCCACACACACCCCCAAAACCAACCCCACCACACCCAACACCCCCACCCCCCACACCCACCACACCACCCCCCACCCACACACCCCACCCACAACCCCCCCCCAACCCCCCACCCCCCCCACCACCCCACCCCCCCCCCCCCACCCCAACCCCCCCAACCCCACCACCACCAACCCCCCCCCCCCCCAAACACCCCCCCCACCCCCCCCACCACCCCCAACACCACCCCCACAACCACAACACCCCAACCCCCCCAAACCCCCCCCCACCCCAAAACCCCCCCAATCATCAACCCCCACCCCCCCACACCCCCCACCACACCACCCACACACCCCCCCCCCCCCACACACCACCCCCACCCAACCCCCCACCACCAAACACCCACACAAACCCCCCCCCCACAACCCCAACACCCAATCCCCCACCCCCCACCAACCCACTCAACCACCCAACCCAACCACAAAACCCCCCAACAAACCCCCCAAAATACAACCCCCACACCTCCAAACAACCCCCAACAACCCAACCCCCCCCCCAACCCCCCCCACCACACCCACCACCCCAACACACACCACCCACCCCACAACCCCCCACCACCCCCCCCACACCCACCCCCAACACACAAAACACCCCCACCCCCCCACCCCACCCAACCCACCCCCACCACCCCCCCCCCCCCCACCCCCACCCCCCCCACCACCAAACCCCACCCAACAAACCACCAACCCCCCACCCACCAAACCCCACCACCAAACCCACCACCAAACCACACCAAACACCACCCACAAACCCCACCACCAACCCCACCCACAACAAACCCCCACCCCCCAACAAACCAACACCAAACCCCCACAAACCACACCAACCCCACACCACTAACCCCCCACCACCAAACCCCAACCCCAACCAACCCACCACCAAACCCACCACAACCCCACCACCACACCACACCAAACCCCACCACCAAACCCCACACCAAACACACACACAACCACCAACCCACACACCCACCACCCACCCCACACCAACCAACCCCCCACCACACCCCCCCCCAACCCACCCCCACACCACACCCACCCCACAACCCCCCCCCCCCACCCAAACCCACACCCACACCCACAACCCAAACCCCAACAACACCCCACCCCACAAACCCCAACAACCCCACCACACACACCCAACCCCACACACACAACAAAACACAACCAACACAACCAAACACCAACACAACCCAACCCACAAACACACCCACACACACCCCCAACCCCCCAACCCCCAACCCCCCAACCCACACAACCCCCACAACACCCCCCCACAACAAACCCAAAACCCACAACACAAAAAACCCCCACCCCCCACCACCCAACCCCCACCCCCCAACCCCCCCAACCCCCCCCCAACCCCCCCCAACCCCAACCCCAAACCCACCAAACCCCCAACCCCCAACCCCCCCTACCCCCCAACCCCCAACCCCCCAAACCCCCCAACCCACACCCCAACCCCACCCCAAACCCCCAACCCCCAACCACCCCAACACACTACCCCCCAACCACCAAACCCCCCAAACCCCCACCCCCAAACCCCCAACACCAACACCCCCCCCACCCCCCCACCCCTCACACCCACCCCAACAACCAAAAACCAACAACCCCAAACCCCAATAACAACCCCCCCCCCCCACCCCCACCACCACCCACACACCCACCACCCAACACACCCCCCCCCACCAAAAAAACCTCCATACCCCCCAACAACAACCAACACACACACACACCCACCCCACACCCCCACCACAACCCCAAACCAAAAACCAACCCCAAAAAAACCACCCAAACCCACCCCCCCACAACCCCACCCCCCCACCCCAAACACACAAACCCAACACACACAAACAACCAACACCACCCCCCCCCACACCCCACACAACCAACACCAACCCCCCCCAACCCCCCCAACCAACAAAACCCCACCCCACCCACCCCCCCAACACCAACCACAAACACAACCCACCCAACCACCCCCAACCAACCACAACACCCCCCCACCCCACCACCACCCCCCACCCCCCCCCCCCCCACCCCAACCCACAAACCAAAAACAAACCACACCAAAACCCACCCAAACACCACCCCCCCCCCACCACCAAACCCCAAACCAACACCCCCCCCACCCCCACCCCCCCCCCCCCCCCCCCAAACCCCCCCCCCTCCAACCACACCACCCCACCCACAAAAACACCACACCCACCCCACCACCCACCCACACCACCCCACCCCAACACAACCCCCAACAAACAACACAACAACAACACAACACAAACCCCATCCAACACCAACACCTACACCCACCCCCAACCACCACCACACCAAACCCCCAACCCCCCCACCCACAAACACACCCCCCCCCCCCCCACACCCCCCCCCCCCAAACCCAACCCAACAACAACCCCCCCCCAAACCCCCCCACCCAAAACCACCCCCCTAAAAAACCAATCCTCCAAACACCATCCACCAACACCACACCCACCCACCCACCTCCAACACACATCACCAACCAACCCACCCCTCCCCTCCTCCCCCACCCCCACCCCCAATAAAACAAATACCCCCCCCCCACACCACAACACCCCACCCCACCAACCCCCCCAACAACCCACCAACAACACAACCCACACCCCACCCACCAACCAAACACCCCCCCACCACCCCCAATCACAAACCCAACCACCTACCCCCAAAAACAAAAAACCAACCAAAAACTCAAACACACAAACACCAAACCCCAACACCAAAACCCAAAACCACACAAACAACCCACCCATTAAACAACCCACCATACCACTACCACCCCAAACCCAAACCAAACACCACCCACCACAAACACACAACAAAAAAAATCCCCCACCACAAAAAAAACCCTAAATATATACCTCACAATACCCAACACAACACCACCCCCCCCCCCCCTCCCACACCCCCCACACCAACAACCCCTCCCCCTACCCCAAACAAACACACCCCCAAAATTACACCCCATCTCCCCCCATAAAACCCTAATATCCAACCCCCCATATCTCCCATACTCCATCACATAAACAACCAACTTCCCCTACATACCCAATTCAAAATCCCCACCCCCAAAAACCCCCCTCAATCCCCCCATCACCCCCCCCCTCTACCCCCCATCCTAAACTCACAATACTCTAATTACAAACAACTTTAAATCCCCCACAACTACCCTCCACACCACATACCATCATTCCACCACCCCTTCCCACCCTACCCTCTTTCTCAACAACACACACCCAACCAAAACAAACACCAAACAACCACCCCCCACACCCCCCCCCCCCCACCAAACCACAACACCACCCCCCCCCCACCCCCCCCCAACACACACTCCCCACCACCCACAACACAACAACCAAAAAACCAATAACCAACCAACACCCACCACACACACACCCCCCCACCCCACCCCCACCACAACCCCCCCCAACCCCCCCCCCCCCCCACCACCACCACCAACACACACCCCCCACACCCACCACCACCAACCAAACAACCCCACCACACCCCCCCCCACCCCAAACCCCCCCCCAACCCCACCCACCACACCAACCCCACCCACACCCCCCCCAACACCAAACACCACCCACCCCCCCCCCCACAAAAAACCCCAACTCCACAACAAACAAAACACCCCCCCACAACAACCAACCACCCCCCCAAACCCCCCCCCCCAACCCACCACACCACAACTACACACACAACCCCACCCCCCACAACCCACACCCACCACCACACCCCCCCCACACACCCCACCCCACCACACCCAACACCACACCCCTCACAAACCCCCCCAAAACACCCCAACCACAAACCACACAACCCCCCACAACAACCCACCCCCCCCTCCAACCACCAAACCCCCCACCCCCCCAACCCAATCCACCCCACAACCCCACACACACACCCCCACCCCCCACCCCCCCAAACCCCCACCACAAACCAATAAAAACCCAACACACACCAACACACAAAACAAACTAATAAACAACACCCACCAAAAAAACCCAACCACCCCCCCACCACACCCCCCAAAAACCACCCCCAAAACCCCCCCCACTCACCACAACCACCCACCCACAAAAAACAACCCCACACCTACCCCCCCCCCCCCCACACCCACCCCCACCCCACCCAACACCCCCACACCACTATCTACAATTCCCACCTACCCCCAACAACCACCCATCACCATCCCACACCCATCCACCCCACTATAACCAATACTCTACCCCCCCACCACACCACAACCAACACAAACCCACCCACAACCCACCCAACCACACACACCCCCCAAACACACCAACCCCCACACCCCCCCCACCCCCAACCACCCCCCCCCCCCAACCCACACCCCCCCAACAACCAAACAACAACCACACCCCCCCAAACACAACCCCACCCCCCAAACACCCCCCCACCCCCACCACCCCTACACAACACACCCAACCCACACCCCAACAAAAACCCCCACAAACCACCCCCAAACACACCCCCAACACCCCCCCCCCAACCCCCAACACCCACCCACACCCACAACAACCACAACAACACCAAACACAAACACCAAACCCCACCCCCCACCAACCAAACAAACCAACCCAACAACAAACAACAACCAACACACCCCCCACCCACACCCCAACCAAACCCAACACCTAACCCCCCCCACCACCCCCCCCCCCCCCCACCCCACCCACACCCCCCCCCCCCCCCCACACCCCCCCCCACACACCAACACCCACCACCCCACCCCCCCCACCACCACCCCCCCCCACCCCCACCCACCAACCCCACCAACACCCCAAACCCAACCCCCCCCACACCAAAACACACCACACACACCAACACACACACACACAAACAACAACACACACAACAAACACACACACCACACACACCACACACACACAACCACACCCCCCCCCCCCAACCCACACACCCCCCCCCACAACCCCCCCCCACAAACCCTCCCCCCCCAACCCCCCCCCACACCCCCCCCACCCAACAACCCCCCACAACCCCCCACCCACCACCAACCCCCCACCCAACCCACCCACCCCCCACCACCACCCCCCCCCCCCCCCCAACCACCCACCAACACCCCAACCCCCCACCCACCCCCACCCACCCCCAACCACCACCCACCCACCCACACCCCCCCCCCACACCCCACCACCCAACCACAACCCAAAACCCCAATCCCAACCCCCCACCCAAACCCCCCCCACAACCCCCCCACCCCCCCCCCACCCCACACACACCCATCACCACAAAACCACACACACCACACACACCACACACACCACACACACAACACACACACAACACCAAACACACCCCACAACTCACCACCACACACCACCACACACCCACACACACCACAAACCACACACACACACACAACCACACACAAACCACAACACAACACCAAAACCAACACACACACAACACCACACCACACCACACACACAAAACACCAACACACACACACACCACACCACACACACACACACACCACACCCCACCCCACACACACAACACAACCAACACACACACACACACACCCCACACACCACCACACACAAACCACACACTCAACACAAACCACAACACCAACACCACCACACACACACCAACACACACCACACACACCCCAACACACACCCCACCCAACCCCCCCCAACCCCCCCCACCAACCCACACCACCCACCCACACAACCACCACCACACCACACCCACCAACACCACAAACCAACAACACACCACCACACAACCAAACACACAACCACACCACCAAACCCCCACACCCCAACCCCCCACCACCCAACCCACCCCCCCCACACCACACCCCCAACCCCCCCAACAAAAAACCCCCACACACACCCCCCCACCCCCTATCCACCCCCCCCCCCCAACCCAAAACAAACCCCCCACCACAACAACACCCAACAAAAAAAAACCCCCCTACCACAAAAACTCCCCAACCACAACAAACCCCCCAACCACTCCTACAACAACCACAAAAAACCCCATAACAACATAAACACCAACCACAACACCAACCAACCACAACACCAACAACAAACACCACACAACAACAAAAAACCCCAAACCAACAACAACACCACAACCACAAAAAACAACCATCCACAACACACCCCCAACATCACCACTCCAACCACAAAAAAACACAACAACACCACACCAAACCACAACACCACCCCAACAACAACAACACCCAACCACAACCAACCACCAACAACACCACCAACAACAAAACCACACACCACCACCAACCACAACACCCCCCACCCCCCCCACCACCCCCCCCCCACCACACCCACCCACCCCCCCCCCCACCAACACCCACCCCCCCCCCCCCCACCCCCCCCACCTCCCACCACCCCCCCCCACCCCAACCCCACCCACCACCCCACACCCCACCCCCCCCCCCCCCCCCCCCCACCCTCAACCCCCCCCCCCCCACCACCCCCCACAAAAAAAACCCACCCCACCAAAACACAACCACCCACACCCCCCAAAAAAAAAACAACCACAAAACCCCACCCACCCCCCCCACCCCACCCCCACCAACCCCCACCAAACCCCAACCCACACCCCCAACCACACCCAACACACCCCAATCCACACCACCAACCAAACAACCCCACAAAAACCCCCCCCACAACACACAAAAACACCAACACAACACCCCCCCCAACCACACAAACAACCCAAACCCCCAACCCCACCTCCAACCCAACCCCAACCCCACTACACACCCCAACAAAACCAAACACACCACACACCACCCCCCCCCCCACCCACACCCAACCCCCCCCCCCCCCCCCCCTCCCCCCCCCCCAACAACACAACAACCCACCCCACCCCCCCCCAACCCCACAAACCACCCTAACCACACACACACCACCCACCCCCCCCCCACCCCCCCCCCACACCCACCCACACCCCAAACACCCCCACCCCCCCCACCCCCCCCCCCCCCCCCCCACCAACCCCCCCCACCACCAAACCACACATCACCACACCCCCCCCCCAACACAAACCCCACACCCCCCCACCCCCACCCCCCCACACCCAAAAACCACCCCCCACCAAAAAAATAATCAACCACCCACACACCACACCACTCCCACCCACCCCCCCCCACCCCACCCACACCAACCCCACCCCAACCACCCCCACCCCCCAACCCCCCCCCCACCCACCCCCCCCCCCCAACCCACCCCCCCCCCAAAAACCCCACACCCACAACCACCCCCACCAACCCCCCCCCCCCCCCCCCCCCCCCCCACCCCACAAAAACACCCCCCCCCCCCCACCAACCCCCCCCCACACACCCCCACCAACCCCCACAAACACACACCACCCCACACCCCCCCACCACCCCACCCCCCCACCACCCACACACCCCCCCACCACCCCCCCCACCCACCCACACACCAAACCCACCCCCAACACACACCCACCACCCAACCCCCAAAACACACACCCACCACAACACACCCCCCCAAACCCCAACCCCCCCCACCCCCCACCCCCCCCCAACCACCCCACACCACCCCCCCCACCCCAACAAACCCACCCCACCCCCCCCACAAACCCCCCCCCCCCCCCCCAACACACACCACACAACCACCACACCACCCCAACCACCCACACCCACCCCACACAACAAAAAACCACACCCAAAAACACAAAACCACACCCCCCCCCACCCACCAAAAACCCCAACAACCCAAACACCCACCACACCCCCCCACCCAACACACCCAACAACCAACAAACCCCCCCCCCCCACCCCCCAACCCCCACCCCCAACCCCACCCCACCCCCCCCCCCCAAAACCCCAACACACCACCACACACACCCCTACAACCCCCCCACCCACCACCCCCACACCCCCACACACCCCAACCAACCACCCACCCCCCCACCCCCCACCACACCACCACCCAACAAAAAAAAACCCACCCACCCCAAACCACCACCCCCCCCCCCCCAAACCCACACCCACACCACCCCCCACCAACCCCCCCCCCACCCCCCCCCCACCCCCCACTCCACACACACACCCCCCCACCCCCCACACCCCCCCCAAACCACACCCACCACCCCCACCCAACAACACCCACCCCACCCCCCCACAAACCCCCCCCCCCCAACACAACCACACAACCACACCACAACACACCCCACACCACCCACCCCCCCACAAACAAAAACCACCCCAAACCCCCACACCCAAACCAACCCCCCAACCCCAACCAACAACCACACCCACCCACCAACCCCCCCCCCCACCAACCCCCACCACCCCCCATTAAACACCCCCCCCACAACCACCAACACCAACCACCACCCCCCCCCCCCCCAACCCACCCCACCCCACCCAAACCCAACCCCACCCCCACCCACCCCCCCACACCACACCAACCCCCACCACACCCAAACCCAAACAACACAACCCCAAACCCCACCAACACACCCACCCTAAAAAAAAACCCCAACACCCACACACCACCCCCCCCCCCCCCCACCAACACCCAACCACCCCCCCACCAAACCCCCCCCCCACCCCCCAACCCCCCCCCCCCCACCCCAAACCACAACAACCCCCACCCCCACCCCCAACCCCCCCCACCCACACCCCCCCACAAAAACCCCCCAACACCCACCCCCCCAACACCCCCACCCACCCCCACCCCCCAACCCCCCAACCCCCCCAACCCAATCCAACATTCAATACACCCCAACAACCAACCCAAAACACACCCCCCCCCAACCACCCCCCCACCCCCCCCCACCCCCCACCCCCCCCCCCCCCCCCCACCCCACCCCCCCACCCACACCCCACCACCACCCCACCCCCCCCCCCCCACCCCCACCCCACCCACAACACCACACAACCACCCAACACCCAAAAAACCACCCCACCCAACAACCCCCCACCCCCCACCCCCCCCAAACAACACCACACCAAAAACCCAAACACCACCCAACCCCCAAAACCACCCCAACAACCAACCAACCCCCCCCCCCCACCCCAAACACAAACCACCCACACCCCCACCCCACACCCAAAACCAACCACACACACCCCAAACCCCCCACCCCCACACCACCACCACCACCCCCACCACAACCCACCCCACCCACAACCCCCCCAACCCCCACACCCCCCCACCACCCCACCCCCCCCCCCCACCCAACCCCCACCCACCCCCCCACCCCCCCCACCCAAACACCCCCCCCCCCCACCCCACACCACACCACACACCCCCCAACACCACCCCAACCCCCCCCCAAACCCCCCCCCACCCCAAACACCCCCCCAACAAACCACACCCCCCACCCCACACCCCACCACACCACCAAACCCCCCCCCACACACCCCCCACCAACCCCCCCACCAACACCCCACCAACCCCAAAACCAACACCCAAACCCACCCCCCCCCAACCCAACAACCACCAACCCCACCCACCCCCCAAACACCCCCCAAAAACCCCAAAAAACATAACAAACACAAACAACACAAACCCACAACACTCACACCAAACCCCCCACACACCCACCCCCCACCACCACCCACCACCCCACCACCCCACACACCACACCCAACCACCAACACAACACCACACCCCCCCTCCAACCCCCACACAAAACCACCAAAAAACACCACCACCCACCCACCCCCCACCCCCAACCCAACACACCCCCCACACACCCCCCCCCCCCCCACCCCCAACCCCCCCCCCCCACCCACCAAACCCCACCCACACAACCAACCAACCCCCACCCCACAAACCCCACCCCCCCCAACAAACCCCACCCACCCCAACACCAACAAAATACCCCACAAACCAAACCCCACCACCACCCACCAACCAACCCCACACCAAACCCCACCCACCCAAACCCCACCACCAAACCCAACCACCAACCACACCAACCCCACACCAAACCCACCCCCAACCAAACCCCACCACCAAACCCACTCCAACCCCACCACCAAACCACCACCAAACCCCACACCAAAACCCACCACCAAACCCCACCACACAAACACCAACCCAACACCCACCCCCCCACCCACACCAACCACCCCCCCACCAAAACCCCCCCACCCCACCCAACACCACACCACCCCCACAACCCCCCCCCCCCCCACCCCAACCCACACCCACCACCCCACACACAAAACAACCCCCAAAACACACACCACAACCCAACAAACCCCCCACCCCACACCCACACCCAACCACCACACCACACAACACAACCCAACCAAACAAACCACACACACAACCAAAACCCACACACCACCACACACACCCCCACCCCCCAACCCCCCAACCCCCCAACCCCCCCAAACCCCCCAACCCCCAACCCCCCAACCCCCCACCCCCCCAACCCCCCCAAAAACCCCCAACCCCCCAACCCCCACCCCCCAACCCACCCAACCCCCCAACCCCCAACCCCCAACCCCACCCCCAACCCCCCAACCCCAACCCCCAACCCCCCAACCCCCCACCACCCCCCCCCCCAACCCCCAACCCCAACCCCCACCCCCCAACCCCACAACCCCCACCCCCCAACACCCAACCCCCCAACCCCCCAACCCCCAACACCCCACCCCCACAACCCCCCAAACACCCACCCCCCCCCACCCCCCACCCCCACAACCAAACCCACACCCCCACCACCCCAACCCCCAAACACAACCCCCCCCCCACCCCCCCCACCACCACCACACACACCAACCAAACCCACCAAAAAACCACCCACCACAACACACCAAAACCCACCCCCACACCCAACCCACACCCCAACCACCCCCCAAACCCCCCCCACCACCCCCACCCACACCAAACACACACACCCACACACACAAACAACCCCACACCACCCCCCACACCACACACAACCAACACCAAACACCCCCACAACCCCACCACAAAAACCCACCCCACCCCCCCCCAACCACCCCAACCACAAAAACCCACCCAACAACCCCCACACCACCCCACAACACCCCCCCCACCCCACCCACCCCACCCCCCCACCCCCCCCCCCACCCCCCCCCCACCCAACCACAACACCAACAAACACCACCAAAAAACCCAAACACCACCCCCACCACCCCCCAAACCCCCCCCACCCCCCCCCACCCCACCCCCCCCCCCCCCCCCCACACCACCAACCACACACCCACCCACCAAAACAAACCCACCCCACCAACACCCCCCACCCCCACCCACCCAACCCCACCCCCAAAACAACACCAAACCATAAACATCCACCCACCCAACAACCCAACCCCAAACCCAAAACCAACACTCACCCAAACCCACCACCCACCCACCCTACACCAAAAACCCCACCAACCCCACCACACCCCAAACCCCACCCCCCACACAACACACCCCCCCCCCCCACCCCACCCCACCCAATCCAACCACAAAACCAACACCACCCCCCAAAACCCCAACCACCAATTCCCCATCCCCACCAAAACACACAATCAACCAAAACATCCAAAACCCACCCCCACAACCCCCACCAACACCCAAACACAACCCCCCCACCCCCAACACCCACCCCCCCCCCCACATCCACACAAACCCCCCCCCCCCCCCCCCCCCCCCCCACCCACCCCAACCCCACACCCAACACAACACCCCACCCCACCACCCCACACCAACCCCCACACCCCAAACCTACCCAACCATACACCCCCCACACAACAAACATACCAAAACAACAACATCCAACAAACCCCACAAAAACCCCACCAACACCATACTCACACACACAAAACCACCACAAAACACAACATCCCCAACACCCCACCCCACCAACCCCAATAACACATAACACAACACTCCAACAAAAAAAATCAAAACAAACCCCTCACAAAACCCAAAACAACAAAACCCAACACCAAACCCTCCCACACACACCCACACAACCCTACCACCCCAACCAAAACCCCCCACCCCAAACCCCCCTATAAACCCCATCATACCCCCACCCCCAACAACCCTCAATAACCTACCCCCTTACACCACCCAAGATAAAATAACCCCTAAACAACAACCTTACCCTAAAACCCTCTTCCACCCCACATCCCCCCCACCCCCCCCCACCCCACCACCCCACCCCCACACCCCACACCCACCCACCACACCACCCCCCCCAACACCCCAACCAACACCCCCCCAAACCAACCAACCCCCCACCACAAAAAACAACACACCCCAACAAACAAACCACCAAACACACCACCCACACCCCACCCCACACCAACCACCAACAACCCCCCCCCCCCCCACCCCCCCCCCACCCCCCAAACCCCCCCCCCCACCCCACAACCCAAACACCCAAAACCACCAAACCCACCCACCCACCCCCCCCACACCACACCCCCCAACCCCCCCCCCCCCCAACAACACCACCACACCACCCCCACACCCCTCACACCAACACAACACCCCACCACAACCCCCCCCCCCCCCAACCCCAACCCCCAACCACCCCCACCCACACCCCCCCCACCCAAACCCCCCCCAACACCCACAACACCACCCCCCCCCCCCCCCCACAAAAACACCCACACCACAACAAAACAAACACCCCCACACCCCCACACCCCACCAACCACCACAAACCCCAAACACCCACCACAAACACCACACCACCACCCCCACACAACCCAACACCCAACCCCACACCCCCCCCACACACCACCCCCCCAACCCCCCAACCCACCCCACCCCCACACACCCCCCCCCCCCACCACCAAACCCAACAACCACCCCACACACCCCAACCCACACCCACCACCAACCAACCCCCCACCCACCAAAACCACCCCACAACCACACACCACCCCCCACCACCCCCCCAAACCCCACCACAAACCAACAAAAACCCCCACCACCCCACCACCAACCAACCACACAACAACACCCACCAAACACCCCCACCCCCCACCCCCCCAAAAAACACCCCCAAAACCCAAACCAACCACCACCCCCACAAACAAACACCACACCTCCCCCCCCCCCACCACCCACCCCCACCACCCCCCCCACCCACACCCACACCAACCCCAACCCCCAACACCCCTCCCCAACCCCCCCACCCACAAAAAACCAACAAAACCCCCCCCCCCACCACAACACAACCAAACAAACCCCACAACAAACCCCCCAACCCACACACACCCCCCCAACACCCAAACCCAACCCCCCCCCCCCCCCCCACCCCACCCCCCCCCAACCCACACCCCCCCCCCAACACACCAAACACAACCACACCCCCCCCCCCAAAAACCCCCCCACCCCAAACACCCACCCCCCACCAACCCAACACAACCACCCAACCACACCTACAAAAACCCCACAAACCAACCCCAAACACAACCCCACCCCCCCCCCCCCCCCCCCCACACCCCACAACCCACCAACAACACAAACACAACACAACACACAACCCACCCAACCAACCAACAAAACCAACACAACCAACTACAACAACCAACCAACACCACCACCACCACCCCACCAACCCTAACAACCCCCCCCCCCCCCACCCCCCACCCCACCCCCACCCCCCCCCCCCCCCCCCCCCCCCCCCCAACACCCCAACCACCACAAACCAACCCCCCCCACCACCACCCCCCACCCCCACCCCACCAAACCCCACCCCAACACCCCAAACCCAACCCCCCCCCACTACACACACACCACAAACACTCACACACACACACACCCCCACACAACAAAAACAACAAAACAAACACACAAACACACTAAAAAACACACACCCACACCCCCCCCCCACACCCCCACAACACCCCCCCCCCCCACCCCCCACAAACCCCACCCCCCCCCACCCCCCCCCCCACACCCCCCCAACCTACCCAACCCCCCAACACAACCCCACCCCAAACAACCCACACCACCACCCACCCCTACCCCCATAATCCAACCCAACCCCACCCACAAAACACCACCCCCCCAAACCCTACCCCCACACCCCCCCCAACACCCCCACCAACACCCCCAAACCCCACCACACCAACCACACCCCCCACAACCCATCAAACCACACCACCCTCCCAAAAAACACAACCATAACCAACTCCCCAACCCCAACAACCCTCCCAACACCCACCCCTAATAAAACACCACCACCACCCAACAAACAAATAAACATTACCCCCTACACAACCTACTACACTCCCTATCTCTCACTACTCTCTCCCTCTCACTCCTCTCACACCCTCTCTTCACTCCCCATCTCAACTCCCACCTACTACACTCCTCTTCTCCTTCTCTCCCCTCTCTCTCACCCTTCTCCTCTCCTCTCTCTCCTCTCAATCTCCCTTCTCTCTCCCCTTCTCTCTCCTCTCTTCTCCCTCTCTCTCTCCCCTCTCTCTTCCCTCTTCTCCCTCTCTCACTCCCTCTCTCTCCCTCTCTCCGCTTCTCTCCCCCTCTCTCTCTCCTCATCTTCTCTCCCTCTCCCTATCCCTCTTCTCACCTCCTTCTTTCCCCTCTATCTCTCTCTCATAACCACACACAACTCCTACATACTCTCTCTCAACATCAACCACTCACTCTCCCTACTCAACATAACTCCCCCTCTCTCTCTCTCTCTCTCTCCTCTCTCTCCTATCTCATCTCTCCCTCTACACACCACACCCAAAACCACAACCACACAACCACTCACTCAAACACAACACCAAAAAACAAATCAAAACTAACAACATTCCCTCAACAATCCATACCTTACACATACACCTCCACATCCCCTATAAATCAACTTCCACAACAATCATATAACCCCCCCTCTCCCATCCAAACAAACAAACACCTAACCCCCCACATCTCTCCTAAACACCACACACCCCACCAAAAACACAACCACACCACCCCCACCCCCAAACCCACCCAACCCCCCTTCCCCATCAACAACCCTCATCTTATAACCACCACATCTTAAACACCAAACATACATAAACCCATATTCCCCCTTCAACTTAATAACTCCATTCATAAACATACAAATTCCATCATATAACATACTATCTACAAACGCCACCTTTCCAACATATACTTCCCTTATCCTCTTCATACTCACCCATCAACATCTACACACCATCCATTTATATCCCTTCCACTACACCCCACCCAACAACAAAACCTCCCCAAAATACAAACATACCACACAAACACCCCCAACTCAAAACCACCAACCACACCACCACCCAACATACCACCACAACAACACTACACATCCACAAAAAACACCAAACACAACCACACAACAACAAACACCATCACACCACAACAAAACAAACCACCCCACACCCAACAACCCCCCCCCACCACACCCACCCCCCACCCCACACACCCACCCACCCACCACCCACCCCCAACCACAAAAACCCACCCACCCAACCCCCACCCCCCACCCCCCACCCACACCCCCCCACCCCACCCCACCACATCAACCACCCAAATACCCCACAAAACATTACCACCCCTCCATACCACAAAACCAAACACCATTAAAATAACACCTCTAACTAAACTCCCTAACCCCCCCCACACCAAACCCCATCATAAAACAACAAAATCCCTACTAAACCCATATATCCCCCATAACAAAAATTACCAAAAAACAAAATAATCAAACACCATACACCCAAAAAACCACCAATCAACCCCCCAATCTACAACCCTCATTTAAAAACCCAAAACAATAATTCTATTCCACCATTACAAAATTCAATACTACTCTCCAAAAAAAATTCAAACACTACCATAACAACCAAACCACCAACAACACCACTACATATAAACTTAACCCCCACCCCCCCCCACCCCCCCCCCCCCCCACAACACACAAAAACCCACCCCAACCCAACCCACAAAAACCACACCCACACTCAACAACCCACCCCCCCAACACCCCACCACACCCTCCAAAAAACCCCACTAAACACACAACCCCACCAACAACCCCCCCCACCACAACACAAACCACCCCCACACCACCAACACAAACACAAATACTCCCAACCCCCACTCTCATCCCCACCACACAACACACACCCCACAACAAAAACCCAAAAAATAATTATTATCCCCTACCACTATCCCACCCACTCTCACACACCACCCCACTCCACATACCCCCCCCCCCCCTATCCACATACCCAACAACAACCAAATCCAAACTTACAACCCCCCACCCACACACCCCAAACCCCAAAAATCACAACCCCCCCCAATTTCCCCCAACACAAAACCATCCCAACAAATTCACAACACCACCACAACCCCCCCACCCCCCAACCCCTATTTACTACAATCCACAAAATACACACAACCTAACACCCCCCCCAACACCAAAAAAACACACACTCACCCAACCTACCACCCAACAAATCAACACCCCAACATCAACAATAACCACCACCACCCCCCCCACCACCCCACACACCCCAAAACCACCCCCAACCACACACCCACCACCAACCCAACAACACACAACAACAACACACCCCCAAACCACATCCCCCCCCAAAAACACCCCCAACCAAACAAAACTAACACAAACCCCAACACACCACTCCATCCCACCCCCAAAACCCCCCACACCCCCCCCCAACACCACCACCACACCACACCACAACCATCACACAATCATCCCCATCCCTCACCACCCTATCTAATTTTTTACCTTATTAACCTTTAACATCTCTATATAAAACCCCCCCAACTAAAATCCAATATTCCCCCATAAATCAAATTAAAACAATCCTTCTCCAACAACCATAAATTATTTACACCTATTCAATATTCCCCCAAACCCCCTCAAAAAACATTCCCCATCTCCCCTTACACAAAATCCAAACCCAACCTTCCCCTCAAATTCTATCCTCATCAATTAATAATCATTCCTTCAACCACCTATACTAACAATCCCCTACACTCTATAACATTTCACAATTCATCAAATCCACCCTAAACACCCAATAAATCTCATCCCTAAATTACTTTCATCCTTCTTTAAAATTAATCAAATCCTATTACATCACACCACAACACACCCCCCCACCCAACAACCCCACAACCCCAACATCCTAAAACCCAAATACCCAACACCAACCACAAAAAACACACAATAAAAAAACAAAACACAACCCCCCCCCACCCCCCACCCCCCCCAACACCAAACCCACCACCCCCACCCAACCAACAACCACCCAACCCCCCCCACAAAACCCCCCCCACCCCCCCCCAACACACCACACACCAACCACAAACACACCCCAAACACCCAAACCCCACACAAACACAACCAACCAACCAACCCCCACAAACCACCCCAACCCCAACCACAAAACCACCACCCTCACCACACACCACCCCCCCAAATACCACCTACACCACCACAATACACCCCCCCCAAAAAAACCAACTACATACCACCATACCCCCCCCCCCCCCCCCCCCCAACAACCAACCCCTCACCAAACATCAACCCCTACCCCCCCCCTACCACCCTCCCCCCCCCAAACCCAACCAACAACCACACTAATCACAATTCACCCAATACTCACATAACAAAAAAAACTACATTCATCCCAAATTTATCCCCCAAATTACCTACAACCCAACCACAAAAACACCCAAACCCCAAACACACCACTAAACCCCTAACATCAAATACCCAAAAAAACCCACAACCATCCCCCAAACCCACCCCCCTCCCACCAAAACAACCCATTCAAACCCAAAACCCAAACCAAAAACACCCCCACCACATCCACCCACACAACACAAACAACACAAACCCCCCTAAACCCCCCCACCCACTCCCCACAACCCCCCCCCAAAACCACACCCCCCCCCACAACAACCACCAAACTCTCAATACCAACCAACCCAAATTCTCCCCCCCCCCACCATCCTCCCACAACATCCAAAAATACTCAACCCCCCCAAACCCCCCCCCCCCCCAACCAACAACTCAATAACAATCTAATCCCAATCCCCCCCCACCCCCAAAACACACAAACATAAATTCCTATCCCATATACTCCAACCCTATTTCTCAACCCCAACTCCTTCAATACCAACAACACAACACACCTTTAATATAATATCCATTTCTCCTCCCATCCTCCCTCCCACCCATAACAACCTAATCCTACCATACACAACATTCAATACCACACCCCACAAAACCAATAAAACAATCCAAAACACTCCCCATCAACCACAAACCCTTATAACCAACCCTAACACACCCCAACCACCCACCAAACCCCACACCCACACACACCCCACACAACCCACCCCCACCCACAACCCACCAACCCCAACCACCACACCCACCCCACACCCCACCCCCCACCCCCCCACCCAACCACCCCAACCCAAACCCCCCCACACACCCACCCCCAAACACCCCCCCCCCCCCCCCCTCCCCCCAAAAACCCCAACCAAACCACCCCAACCCCCCCCCAAACCCCCCCCACAAACCCCCCCCCAAAACCAACCCCCACCCCCCACACCCCCACCACTCCCACCAACACCCCCCCCACAACCCCACCCAACCCCCAACCAACACCCCACAACCCACAACAACACCCAAAACCCACCCCCCCCCCAACCACAAACCACCCCCACCCCCCCCCCCCACCCACAACCCCCACCCCAAACCCAAAAAACAACCCAACACCAAAACAACCCCCCAACAACCCCACCCCCCACACACCCCCCACACCACCACCCCACCCCCCCCACAACCCACCCAACCCCACACCCCCCCACCAACCCCCCCCCACCCCCCACCCCAACACCCCAAACACCCACCCCCCACCCCCACCCCACCACCCCCCACCACCCCCCCCCACCCCCCCCACCCCCCCCACCACAAACCACCCAACAACACACCCCCCCAACCCACCACCAAACCACCACCAAACCACCACAAACCACACCAACCCCACCCACAAAACCCCACCACCAACCCACCACAACCAACCAAACCCACCACAAAACCCACCACCAAACCCACCACCAACCACCACCCAACCCACACAAACACACCACCAAAACCCCCACACCAAACCCACCAACAACCCCACCACAAACCCACCAACAAACCACCACCAAACCACCACAAACCCCACACAAAACACCAACCACACACCCCCCCCCACCCATACCACACACCCCCCACCACACCCCCACCACCCCAACACCACACCACACCACCACAAACCCCCCCCACCCCCCACCCAACCACACACACCACCCAACAACAACACACAAAAAAAACCCCCACCAACCAAAATCCCACCACACTCACCAACCCAAAACCACCACAACACAACCAACCAAACCAAAAACCACCACACACACCATACCACAACCCCACCCACAAACCACACAACCCCCCAAAACCCACAACCCCCCAACCCCCAAAAACAACCCACACAACCCAACCACCCCAAACAACATCCCCCACCCCACCCCAAACCCCTACACCCACAAACCCCAACCACCCAAACAAAAAAACCCCCCAACCCCCCACCCCCAAATAACACAACAAAACCAACAAAACCCCAAACCCCCCAAACCCCCTAACACCATAACCACCACCCAAACAACCCAAAAACCCACACCACCAACCCCAACCACCCACCAAACAACCCTCATCACACCAACACCCAACAACCCCACAAACACAAAACACACAAATACCAAAACCCCCAACACCCCACCCACCCATACCCCTACACCCAACACCCCTCCCCCCACCCCCCCCCCCCAAAACCCAACAAAAAACCTCACAAATAAAACCCCAACCACCCCAATCACAACAACCCCCCCCAACCCACAATCACCCACCCCACACACACACCACAAAATCACCAACAAATTAAAACCAACAACAACAACAAATAATCCACAACCCAAACATCCAACCACAACCAACCCCCCATACCACCCCCCCCACCAACCAACCCCAACCCAAAACACACAACCCAACAAAAAAAAACCCCACACCACCCCCCCACCCCCACTCAACAAAACCAAACACCACCCCACTCCCCCCACAAAAAAAACCCCAACCACCACACCCCCAAAACCCAACCACAAAAACCCCCCCCCCCCCCCCCCAAACAAACCCACCAACCACCCCCACACCACCCCACAAACCCCCCCACCCCCAAACACACCCCCCACCCCCCCAACCCCACCAACACCCCCACCCACAAACCCACCCCACCCCCCAAAACACCCAAACAACCACCCCCCACCACCAAAACCCCCACCCCCCCCACCCCCACCCCCCCCCACCCCACCCCCCCCCCCACCCCACCACACCCAACACACCCACCCACCCACCCCCACCCCACAAACAACAACCCAATCACAACCACCACAACAACCAAAACAAAACAAACACACACCAAAACCCCCACACCCACCACACCCAACCCACCAACCCACACACCCCAAAAACCCTATCTAACAACCCCCCCAACCCACACCCCCCAAAAATACCCACACAACAACACAAACCACCCACCAAACCACACCAAAACAACATCACCCAAACACTAAACAACACATCCAAACCCCAAAACACAAACACAACCCACCACCCCTCCCATACCCCCCCCCACCCAAATAACCAAAACCCCCCCACCCCAACCCCCCCACCCCACACCCACCAAACCCACAACACAAAACAACCCCCCACAACCAACCAACAACAACCACCCCCAACACCTTAATACCACACAATAACACCAACCACCAACACAACAACATCCAAACACAACCCAACTACCACCCACCCCACCCACCACCCCACACACCATACACCCACACCAACAACACCCACAAACATCAACAAATCACAAACAATCCACCCAACCCAACCCAAACCAAACACCACCCACCACAAACAAAAAAATAAACCCCCCCAACAAAAACAACCACAAACCAACACACAACACCCCACCCCCCACAACACCCCCACAACCCCCCCCACCCCCCCCAATCCACCCCCCACACCCTACAACCCCAACCAATTACCCAAAACCAACTCCTCCAACCCCACCCCAACACCAAAAAACCAACAACCCCCCCCACCCACCCCCCAACCCCACACCCCCACACCCACCCCCACCCACACCAACCCCCCCAAACCCTCCCCCCCACACCCCCCCCCAAACAAACCAAAACCAACCACAAAACACAACAACACTCACCCAACAAACAAACCACATACACACCACCCACACCCACACCCCCCACATCACCACAACAAACCCCCCCCCACCACCCCAACACACAAAACAACCCACCACCCCCAACCCCACAACCCAAACACAAACAAACCAACCAACAAACACCCCACACAACACCACCCCCCACCACAACCACACCCACCCCAACCCCCCCCACCCCACCACAACAACAACACAACACACCCCAACACACACACAACCTACCACAAAAAAACCCAACAACACCCCCCCCACCACCCAAAAACCCCCCCCCCCACATCACACCACCCAACCAACCACCCACACACCCCCCAAACCAAAACACCACACACCCACCCCACCACCCAAAACCCAAACACCCTCAACAAAAAAACAACACACCCACACCCACAAACCCAACCCACAACCCCACAAACACCCACACCACAACCCCCAACTACCAAACACCACCCAAACCCCCCCCCAAACACCACCCCACACAACCCCCCAACACCAATAAACCCAACACAACCACCCCCCCCACACAAACCAACACAAACACCACAACCACCCAAAACCCCCATCCTCCACAAAACCACCATCCAACCAATCAAACCCCACACCCCATCACAAACACCCCAACCACACAACCCCCCCAAACCCCACTAAATCCTCAAATCCAACAACTCCATACAAACCAACAAACATCTATTCTACTCCCCCCTCATAATAACACCACCCCCCCACCCAACAAAAACCACCCCCCAAAACCACCACACTACCACACCAAAACAAACACAACACCACCCCCCCCCCCACCCACCCCACCCAACCCAACACCCCCCCCCACCCACACCCACACAACCCAACCCCACCCCCCCCCCCAAATATCCATCCCCCTCACCAATCCACCCACCATCACACAAAACCCAACAAAACCCCACTCCAAAAAACAACAAACAATACACCCACAATCCCCCCCACTACACACCCCACACCCCAAAATTCTACCTTACCAAATCTCACAACAACCCACAAACATAAAAAAACACCTTTCAATACAAAAAAAAACCATATACCATTTACTACTCTACCCACCCCCTTTAACCACCCCACCAACCCAATTCTCCACCCCCAACCAACAATCCCATTCCTATTCAATAAAATAACCTATACCTTATTTTTCAACCTTTATAATTAATCCCCCACCCATTTCTATACACAATACCACAAAAAAACACAAACTCCCCTAACTCTCCCCCCATTACCATCCAATTTATTCCTTAATATTCTCCTCCATCCCCCAAACACCTCATTCCCATCATTTCCTAACATTTCATTCTTCTTATTATTATATCACCATCACCACTCAATCCCCACCACCCAAACCAAATCAACACCCCAAACCAACCCCACCCCAACCACCCATACCCCCCCCACACCCCACCCCAACAACCCCACAAATACCAATACCCCCAATCATCAATACCAACCCAACCAACTACCCCCCTAACATAACAACATTACAATCATATACCCTATATCCTTTCACACCCCCCTAAACAAATATCATATCTATCATATATATATATATATCATATATATATTAATACTTATAATATATAAACTAATACTAACACTAACACAACAAACACACACCACTAAACACACCAACCCACACACCCCCCACACCCCCCCCACAACCCCCCCCAACCCCCCACAAACCCCACCCCCCACCACCCACTCCCCCCACCCAAACAACCCCCAACACCACACCACCCCACACAAACCACCCACCCCACACACCACCCCCTCCACCTCCCCCCCCCCCAACCCCCCAACCAACCACCCAACCCCACCCACACCCACCCCACCCAAACCCCCACCAACCAAAACCCCCCAACACCCCAACCCAAACCCAAAAACAAACAAATCCCCTAACAACCCCTACCCCCCCCCCCCACCAAAACCCACACTACCCACACACCCCCCCCACCATCCACAACCACAAACAACAACACCCAACCAAACCACACAACCACACACACACACCAACCACACACACCATCACACAACAACAACACCACAACACACACACACACCCACACACACCTCACAACCACACACACCCACACACACCAACACACACCCACACACCACACACTCCACAAAACACCAACAACACCACACACACACACACACAACCTCAAACCACACACAACCACACACACACAACAACAAACCACACCAAACACAACCACACATACCACACCCACACACACACACCCAACAAACACACACACACCACACACTCACCACAACACCACACACACACCACACACACACACACTTCCAAACACACCCATACCCAATCACACACACACACACACACTACCACACACCCTCACACTCTCCACACCCCAAAAACAAAAAAAACCCACCCTACCCCCAACAACAAACCAAACAAACTCAACCAACACACAACACCACCCAACACAACAACCCAACTACTAATAAACCTCCCTCCATTACCCCCAAACACCCAACCCAACACAACCTAAAACCCCCAAACCCACCCCACCACCCACCCCACCCCCCCCCACAACACACACCCCACCCCACCAAACCCCCTCCACACCACCCCCACCCCCCCAAACCAACCCACCCCCCCCCCAACACTAACAACTATACCCACAAAAATCACAATCCTCTTAAACACCAACAACTTATCCACCTACCATAACATAAAACACCTAACACTAATACCACACTACCCCATCAAAACCACAACCAATCCACACACCAACCACAAAACCACTACCAAACCACCACCCAACAACTACACCACACTACTAACAACACCACCCACCACAAATCCACCAACAACTAAAACACCAACCCAAAAAACACAACCACACCACCACCCAACAAAACAAACAACAACACAACACAACAACAACAACCACTTTCTACAACACCACCCAACCACAACAACACCAACCACACAAACTCAAACATAACCCACAACACAACCACCAACCAAACAACACAACCCCCCCATCCACCCACACACCACAACCACCCCCCCAACCACCCCCCAACCACACCCCCCCCCCACCCAACATCCCATCACCCCCCCACACACCCCAACAACCCAACAACACCCCAACCAACCCCCACCCCCACCCCCCACCCCCCAACCCCCCCCAACCCCCCCCCCCCACCACCCCCCCCAACCACACCCAAATAACAAACACACACCCCCCACCAAAACACAAAAACCACACCCCAAAACATAAACAACCACAAACACCCCACCCACCACACACACCACCCCCCACAAACCCCACCACCAAACCCACACACCAAAACACCCACCACAAACCCAACCAACCCCCCAAACAAAAACAAACCACAACCAAACCCCCCACCCAACAAAAAAAAAACACAACCCCCCCAACACACAAAAAAACCCAAACCCCAACCAAACACACCCCCCACACCCACACACTAAACACCCAAAACACAACACCCCCACCCACCCACACACACCCCCCCCCCCCCCCCAACCCCCCCCAACACCACAAACACCCACCCCCCACCCCCCACCCCAACAACCCCCCAACCCCACAAACACAACCCCCCACCCCCCCCCCACCCCCCCCCAACCACACACCCAACCACCCACACCAACTACCCCACCCCCCCCCCCCCCCCCCCCCCCCACACCCAACCACCCCCACACCCCCACCCCACACCACAAACCCCACACACTCCCCCCCCCCACACACCCCCCCCACCCACCAACCCCCCCACAAACAAAATAACAAACCCCCACCCCACACAAACCACACCAACCACCCACCACCCACCCACCCACCCACAACAACCACCCAACCACCCCCACACCCCAACCCCCCACCCCCCCCCCCCCCACACCCAACCCCCCCACAAACCCAACACAACCCACCCCCCACCAACACCCCCCCCCCCCCCCCCCCCCCCACCCCACAAAAAACACCCCCCACCAACCCCCCCCCACAACCCCAAACCACACAAACCCCACCACACCCACAACCCCCCACCACACCCACCCAACAACCACAAAACCCCCACCACCCCCCACCACCACACACACCACCAAACCCACCACCCAACACAACCCCACCACCCAACCCAAACAACAACCCCACAACTAACACCACCCCCAAAAACCCCAAACCCCACCACACCCCCCCCCAAACCAAACCTACACACCAAAACCAACAACCCACCACCCCCAAAACCCCCCCCCCCCCCAACACACCACCACACAACCTCTTACACACCACCAACCCAAACCCCCACACAACAAACCAAAACAAACAAAACAAACACCACACCCCCCCCACCCCACCAACAACCACCCACCCCAACACCCCACCACACCCCCCCACAAAACACACCCAAAAAACAAACCCCCCCCACCCAACAATCCCCCCCCCAACACCCAACACCCCCACCCCCACCAAACTCCCCACAACAAACAACACCACCACCCAACACACCACACAACTACCAAAACACCCCAACACCTACACCATATAACTACAGATCCCCACCAATCACCAAAACCACACCATCCCTACCACATATCTACCATTGTCCCAAACATACACACATCAAATATAAACCCCACCAACCCCCCCCCACCACAACATACCACCCCCCAAATATCTACACCCTATCCACACCCCTACCCCAACCACCCCTACACCCCCAACAACAACCTACCACAACACCCACCCCACCCCCCAAACCCCACCCAAACCAAACCACAACCCCCACCCCAACCACAACCACCACCCCCACACCACCCACCCACCCCCACACAACACCCCACCAAACCCCCACCCCACCCAACACCAACCACACACACAACTCACACACCCCAATCACCCACTCCCCCCCCCCACAACAAACAACACACCACAACCCACACACTCACCCACACCAACCACACAACCACCACCCACCCCCATCCCCCCCCACAACCCCCCACCCACCCACCAAAACAACCCCCCCATTTTTTGCACACCTGGTGTGCAATCCATGAATCTTGGTGCTGTAACCTAGGCTAGCCTAGCCGTGGCTGCTGCTGTCTCACCTCCTTTCAGATACGCTCTCTTTATTCAAGGCTAGGTTTAAAACAGTCCTCTTTAGTTTAGCATTATGGCTAGGAAGGTAAGACTCAGGGAAGGCTAAACTCCTCAGACTGTCAGTCAAGCTGCATAGGGAGCCCCCTGCTGGAGAAGTATGGTAACTTGAGCACTATCCTCTCCTCCTTCCTACTTTATCTACTTTATCTGTAGATAAAGTAGTAAAGTAGCATTATTAGGATTTTGACTGTAGTTTGTTCATTGCTATTCACCCGTTGTCCCATTGTCTGTTTCATGGTACGATGACGGGATCTCTGAGCCTGGCCTCCTCCATCTACACCTGCGGACTGCCCCGCCCGACCCGCCTGGGAGTGCTTCAGTCCTGCACCGGACCTGTCCACGTTCAGCGGCCACTGGTCCACGTTCTGTAGCTAGCTTAGCTCCTAGATCATTAGCCTGTCCGTCCGGAGGAGCGGATCCCTTTCTCAAATGGGTCTCCCTCCCTGTGGGTTTCCCTAGTTCTCCCCAAGGTTTCTCACTTTTTCCCACTGGGTTTTTTAAGAGTTGTTCCTTGTGGATGCAGGAGGGTCTTGTTGGACAGTTAGTGTCCAACAGAAAGGATTGGTGATGATCAGGACACTTTAGCATTCTACAACATGTATGGACATTTTCTTCTGTGTGTGCTTTATACTGTATTCTTCATGTGTTTTAACTGTTGATTCTCTGACCTGTGTTGGTGATTTCAATGGTTTTGTTAAGTCTCTGAGATGACTTCTGTTGTGACCTAGGGCTATACAACAATACATTCTATTGTATTGTATTGTAGGAGCAAAGGGGGACATGGAATAGTACGAGCAAAAGGGGGGCATGGACTAGCAGGAGCACCGAGGAACACAGATGAGACCATTGAACCAATGAGACCATGGAACTGGCCTCCTGCTGGTCCCAGAGTCAGGACTGAACATGAGGAGGCAGTGTTTCAGATTCATCCATCTAAAATCTAGAACAATCTTCCTGAAAATGTGAGCCAGACTTCTTCTCTGACAGAGTTCAAATCCAGGATAAAAACTGTTTCTGCAGCAACTGAAGGATTTTAACTTTACTCTTTTTAACGTCCTGATTATTTATGATTTTAACGCCTTGTTTTGTTGAGCACTCTGAGACCCCCTGTGTATGAACTGTGTTATACAGATAAACTTGACTCCTTCTAACCGCTTAGTGACCCGCATCCTCCAGGGCGACCGTGGCATTTACACAGCCCCAGCCCCCACACAGCCCCAGCCTTGACACAGCCCCAGCCCTCACACAGCCCCAGCCCTCACACAGCCCCAGCCCTCACACAGCCCCAGCCCTCACACAGCCCCAGCCCTCACACAGCCCCAGCCCCCACACAGCCCCAGCCCCCACACAGCCCCAGCCCTCACACAGCCCCAGCCCCCACACAGCCCCTGCCCTCACACAGCCCTCACACAGCCCCAGCCCCCACACAGCCCCAGCCCCCACACAGCCCCAGCCCTCACACAGCCCCAGCCCTCACACAGCCCCAGCCCCCACACAGCCCCCTCACACAGCCCCCTCACACAGCCCCCTCACACAGCCCCCTCACACAGCCCCCTCACACAGCCCCCTCACACAGCCCCCTCACACAGCCCCCTCACACAGCCCCCTCACACCGCCCCAGCCCTCACACAGAGCAGTGGGAAATATACATCTCTCCCTCTCCTCCCCCCCATCTCTCCCTCTCCTCACAACCATCTCTCCACCATCTCTCCCCATCTCGGCCACTCCTCTCCCTCATCTTTCCTCTATCTCACCCCCCCCATCCCCCCCCCCCCCCCCCCTCCTTGCCCCCTCCTCGCCGTCGTTAATAATTCATAATGTTATTGCGTAACTCTACCTGGATCCGTATTGACCCGAAACCCAAAGCGCGGTCACTCCACCTCCAAGGGCGTCATCACTGGATACCCCCCTGAGGATCAGGACGAGCAGAGACGGAGGAGGCATGTTGTTGTCTGGAGGTTTCGTCTGGTCGCTCTCTCAGGTCTCTCTCTGGTCTGTCTCTGGTCTCTCTCTCTGGTCTCTCTCTGGTCTGTCTCTGGTCTCTCTCTGGTCTCTCTCTGGTCTGTCTCTGGTCTCTCTCTCTGGTCTCTCTCTGGTCTTTATCTGAGGTCGCTCTCTCTGGTCTCTCTCTGGTCTCTCTCTGGTCTGTCTCTGGTCTCTCTCTCTGGTCTCTCTCTGGTCTCTCTCTGGTCTCTCTCTGGTCTGTCTCTGGTCTCTCTCAGGTCTATCTCTGGTCTCTCTCAGGTCTCTCTCTGGTCTCTCTCTCTGGGGTCTCTCTCTCTCGTCTCTGTCTGGTCTCTCTCTGGTCTCTCTCTGGTCTCTCTCTCTGGTCTCTATCTCTAAAACTATGACATAAATGATTCATATTTGTGTAAGAGATCTATACTTATAAATACGTTTATTGCTGATTGTGTTTTGGGCTCGAGGGTCACTGCCAACGTCACGCCTTCTCCTCTGTCTGCGTTTGTTTTCAGGATCAGATTCTGATCTCCAAAAATTGATTAGGTATTTTTAGCTACACAAAAACAACAAGAAATCCTCCTACATATCAGAGAGAGAGAGAGAGAGAGCAGAGAGAGAGAGAAGGAGAGAGTAGAGAGAGAGAGAGAAAAAGAGAGAGAGAGAGAGGGAGTAGAGAGAGAGAGAGAAACAGAGAGAAGAGAGAGAGAGAGTAGAGAGAGAGAGAGAAAGAGAGCAGAGAGAGAGAGAACAGAGAGAGAGAGAGAGAGAGCAGAGAGAGCAGAGAGAGAGAGAGAGAGTAGAGAGAGAGAGAACAGAGAGAGAGAGAGAGAGAGCAGAGAGAGAGAGAGTAGAGAGAGAGAGAGCAGAGAGAGCAGAGAGAGAGAGAGCAGAGAGAGTAGAGAGAGAGAGAGAGTAGAGAGAGAGAGCAGAGAGAGAGAGAGTAGAGAGAGAGAGCAGAGAGAGCCTAGAGAGAAACTAGAGAAAAACCAGAGAGAGACTTGCGAGAGACCAGAGAGAAAGACCAGAGAGAGACCAGAGAGAGACCAGAGAGAGAGACCAGAGAGAGACCAGAGAGAGACCAGAGAGAGAGACCAGAGGGAGACCAGAGAGAGACCAGAGAGAGAGACCAGAGAGAGAGACCAGAGAGAGACCAGAGAGAGACCAGAGAGACCAGAGAGACCAGAGGGAGTGTGATTAGGTTCACAGCTGGATGTGGGCAGAGTTTGACAGAGTTGACTTCACTCTCTGACGTCTACATTTGGAGAATATAGATTTCAGACTAAACTCTTGTGAGACGAGGTAAATACAAACGCTGCAAATTTCAGAAATCCTCCGAATAATGACCTGTGATAATCTGATCAGCTCCAGGCAGAAGGAGCTGGACCCGTTATTACAACATCAGCATCTGCGTTCACAAAGTGTGGACCATTGATTTGATTCCAATAAACAAGACAATAATGTATAATCTGCTCTCTCTATGGTCCAACTCTCTGGTCTCTCTCTGGTCTCTCTCTGGTCTCTCTCTGGTCTCTCTCTGGTCTCTCTCTGGTCTCTCTCTGGACTCTATCTGGACTCTCTCCGGTCTAACTCTCTGGACTTTCTGTGGTCTCTCTCTGGTCTCTCTATGGTCCAACTCTATGGTCCAACTCTCTGGTCTCTCTCTGGTCTCTCTCTGGTCTCTCTCTGGTCTCTCTCTGGTCTCTCTCTCGTCTCCCTCTGGTCTCTCTCAGGTCTCTCTCTGGTCTCTCTCTGGTTTCTCTCTAGTCTCTCTCTGGTCTCTCTCTGGTCTCTCTCTAATCTCTCTCTCTGGTCTCCCTCTAGTCTCTCTCTTCGGTCTCTCTCTGGTCCATTTGCATTTCAGAATTTTATAATAACAGTCAATTCTCGTTTCTCTTGTCTTGTTCCTCCCACAGAAAAGTTCAGAGTCTGCGCTGGTTTCGACTCCTCTCCTGGTTTTGACTCCTCTAATGGTTTTGCAGATTCCAAACTCAGACTCGTCCCGGTCTGAACTCCTCACCTCACCTCGCGTCAGTCGATGGAAATAACGTCTCCGTCCGAAAAGACAAACTCGCAGATTCTCTCGGGAAACAATCAGAGAACTGACTCTGTCGCTCTGAGCCATTCTGAGCCATTCTGTGCCAGAGACGAAGCCACAGCGAGACTCACAAAAACACAGACGAGACAGAGTTCACTTTGGAGACCCGATGACGCCGCTCGCCTGCAGGTGCGACGCTTAATGGCAGCGGCGGCCATTTTGTGTCCGTCGGAAGCGAAAGGACCGAGTCTTCTTTGTTAAATCCTCTTTGATGTGGAGCTCCCTCGTGACACCAATTAGCTCGACGCGGCGTTTGCGTTCGGTCGCGCTTCCTTTTTCCGAAAGACTTCTTGCATGAATTATCAATCCAGCGGAACTTTCTATTCCCTCTTGATGAGGCGTGGGATCGGGACGAGATGGAGGTGGGAACGAGGAGGAACCGGGACGAGTTTGAACGGAAGAAATCAGGGAGAAGTGAGTGGAACCTTCAGGACTGTTCTTGGGTGTTCTTGGGACCCGGGAGAGACCAGAGAGAGACCAGAGAGAGACCCGAGAGAGACCAGAGAGAGACCAGAGAGAGACCTGAGAGAGACCAGAGAGAGACCAGAGAGAGACCAGAGAGAGACCAGAGAGAGACCTGAGAGAGACCAGAGAGAGACCTGAGAGAGACCAGAGAGAGACCAGAGAGAGACCTGAGAGAGACCAGAGAGAGACCAGAGAGAGACCAGAGAGAGACCAGAGAGAGACCAGAGAGAGACCAGAGAGACAAGAGAGAGACCAGAGAGAGACCAGAGAGAGACCAGAGAGAGACCAGAGAGAGACCAGAGAGAGACCAGAGAGGGACCAGAGAAAGACCAGAGAGAGACCAGAGAGAGACCAGAGAGAGACCTGAGAGAGACCAGAGAGAGACCAGAGAGAGACCTGAGAGAGACCTGAGAGAGACCAGAGAGAGACCTGACAGAGACCTGAGAGAGACCTGAGAGAGACCAGAGAGAGACCAGAGAGAGACTAGAGAGAGACCAGAGAGAGACCAGAGAGAGACCAGAGAGAGACCAGAGAGAGACCTGAGAGAGACCAGAGAGAGACCTGAGAGAGACCAGAGAGACCAGAGAGTGACCAGAGTGAGACCAGAGAGAGACCAGAGAGAGACCAGAGAGACAGACCTCTGAGCCAATAGGAGGCATCAGTCCAAAAGGGGCGGGATCAGCATTATCCTTGCACTTAAAGACCAAACACACGGATCGAAGCGTGTTCCAGGTCATGTGACTTGTCAGAGTCGAAGGATTGGATTAAACACAAGATAAATGACACGCCAATCCTTCCGCTAAGCTAATCCCTTGTTAGCAAAGCAATCACAAAATGGGCCCCGGCGAGATCCATCGCTGTCACATTATCCCAACGAGATTATAAAGACCGCAGGACGAGGCAACCGTCAGGGGGGCGCCATCTCCTGCACAGAACGCTGCTTTTAGGAGAGGCGGGTTTCGGAGGAAGGAGAGTATAAATCAGGGGTAAGAGTGAAGCGTCTGAGATAATGGCATCATCATGTTTGTATGCGTCTGTGGTTCCTACGAGATTATACTCTTCATCATTGTCCTGCTGCAGGCTGTCAGACTGTACGATGAGGACGCACACTGCCGACCTGACCTCACATGTCGTGTATCTGCGCTACTTCTTTATGATGCTAACGCTAGAGATGTTGTATTAGCTTCTTCATGATGCTAACGTTAGGGTGGGATGTTGCAGATTTGCAACAGTGGCAGCTGTGGTGAACAGAGCTGCCTGGGGAAAACACATCAGCGTGTTCTGTATCTATACATTCATCTTTGATACCGTTGTGGTTTCAGATTATCAGAGGTCGGTGACGACACTGACTTGAAAACCTGGAGACTGACACTTTGGAAATGAGACTGCGCCCCCTGGTGAGAGAGAGAGAGAGAGGGAGAGAGGCAGAGAGAGAGAGAGAGAGAGAGAGAGAGAGAGAGAGAGAGAGAGCAGTGAGAGGGATCAGTAAGCGACATGAGAGGGAGTCAAGAGAGAGACTAGATAGCGAGACAAGAGAGAAACATTAGAGAGAGAGACGAGAGGGACCAGCGAGAGAAACTACAGAGATAGAGAGTAGAAAGAGACCAGAGAGATAGACAAGAGAGGGAGAGAGACAATAGAGGGAGAGAGACAAGAGAGAGGGACCAGAGAGAGAGAGACCAGTGAGAGAGAGAGACGAGAGAGACCAGCGAGAGAAACTATAGAGACAGAGACTAGAAAGAGACTAAAAGCCCTCCTCTCCCCAGCCCTCACCTCCCTCCCTCTCCCTCTCTCTCTCTTGTTCTAGTCCTCGCTCTATGATTCCAGTCTGGTGTGGTCCCGTGTTCCAGAGTCAGCAGATGAAGAGGAACAGTGGGAGCTTTGATCACAGACTGTACAGAGCGTAACGACTCGACGCTGCTGAAGCTGCAGGAGACGTGTGGACTTGTCTTTCTCTGTCAGAAAAACACCCAAACATCAAACAATTAGACATGTGGCAGCGGGTAATGAGGAATCGCAGAGGCTGAATTATTTACCACGCTACAGGACTATTTTAAGAGCAGCGCGAGGAGAGAGTGGAACCTGCTGCGCCTCTGCTGCTGTCGTTTTATGGGTTTGAGGTTTGAGGCCAAGAGTTTTACTAAAGTCAAGTTTCTGTGGCAGCAAAAGAGAAAGATCTGTGGTGATAACTGCAGGTGAGAGGCCAGGTGCTCTCTCTCTCTGGTCTCTCTCTTTAGTCTCTGGTCTCTCTCTAGTCTCTCTCTGGTCTCTGTCTAGTCTATATCTAGGCTCTCTTGTCGCTCTCTCTCTGCTCTCTCTCTCTGGTCTCACTCTCTGGTCTCTCTTTCTGGTCTCTCTCTGGTCTCTCTCTCTCTAGTCTATCTCTGGTCTCTCTCTGGTCTCTCTCTCTCTAGTCTCTCTC